TGGGTGCGTAGTAAGCATGGGCATGGTAGGGTGACGGGTAGGGGGCGGGGGTGGGCCGGGGGCCCAGCACCCCGGGGCTAGGATTTGGGTAGGGTGAGTTCCAGGAACTTTGGACGTCCGTTGGTGGCCGTTGTCTCGAATCGCCGTTTGAGCGCCCTCGACCACGACCCCGGTTGCCGTTGCCATGCCCTTGTCCGCGTCCAAAACCACCACGCTGTCCGGAGGAGGAGCCATCGCCAAAGTTGCTGCCAGAAACCCGATCCCCACTGCCGCCGTGAGGAGGGTCGTGGCTGCCACCGCAGCCGTGCTGGTTGCCGCTGAAGCTGCCGCCGTCCCGACCCGCGCCAGCAGCGCCGTGCTGCTGGTTCCGCCCAGTAGAGTCCTCTGCCAATCGAGAAGGAGAAGAGCCGACCACACTTGGAGAAAACTCGGCATAGGATCTTGAAATTGAAGGAACGAAGTTTGGGCTTGGAGATCATTGGGGAGGCCGCACAACATCTGGAGGATTAGTTGGTGCTCAGACACGGGGGCATCAACGTCATCTAACCAATCCGCAATATTCCTGAGCTCTTGACAATAAGCAGCCATGGGGGTAGATCCTTTGACGATGGTGCGAAATTGATGCTCAAGTTGCATGGCTCGAGCATGCTTATTGTCGTGAAACAAATCATGAATCACCGTCCAGAGGGCAGATGCAGTAGAGACAGAAGAAAGAACGAGATCAGAAACTTCATCTGTGATGGTGGAGAGAATCCATCCCTGGAGAATAGCATCAAGTTGGAACCATTCGTCGTTGTCGTCGGAGATGGGAGCAATTGAGCCGTTGAGATAGTGTCAAGGAACCAACTCAACCATAAGCTCAAGCTTGTGGTTGTGGCCCAGGAACAATTATTTATATTCTAACACGCCCCCTCATGTGCAGGCGTAATCTTTTTCGAGCCTTGCACGTGAAATCTTAATTTCTTTTTTTTAAAATAGGTGGCGCTGAGTTTCGAACCCGTGACCTCTTAGTCAACGAGGCTCTGATACCATGTCAAGGAACCAACTCAACCATAAGCTCAAGCTTGTGGTTGTGGCCCAAGAACAGTTATTTATATTCTAACAGATAACCATGAAGATTGAACCGCCGCGCGAGAAGGAAGAACAAGCGGCTCCACTTTTTATAGTTTGGTTGAGAAAAACTGAGTTGAATTGGAACATGGAATTTGACATTGGAGACGTAGAAAGCCAGATGTGGAGGTTTTTGGCTGGAGGATTGAGACGTGACCTCACTGTCGGTCATTGTAGAGGAGGAGCTGCCGGCCGAGAGGAGAAGGAAGAGGGGCAGCGGCGGTGCTGTTTGGCGAAGGGAGGAGGAGGCCGAAACTTGGGGGAAAAAGTTTTAGGGTTTTGTTTTTAGTGAAGCTTTGATACCATGAAGAATTGTATTTTCATTGATTAATTATGTGACAAGTACATGTATATATATACAACATCTCAATCCTAGTTATGGTAGGAGAGCTATTCTAGGAAAGCTATACAAGTATGGAAACAAATCATAATACAATTAATATTAAATATATTTTATATATTTAACAATCATGATGTAGATTTAGCAAAATTAGGCAAAAGATATGAACATATTCATTTTAGGGTGGATTCAGCCACATCTTGTTTGTGTGTGTGTGTATACACCATATAATTTTTTTATTATAGGTTAAAGATTGTTCATACTCCGTATATGACTGATTGCAAAAAGTCAAAATTAGAAAAATATTAATTTTTGTAATTTAGTTTTTTTATACCAAAATTCGACGAGTGTTCACATATATTGATTATTTTTAGAGTCACTAAAATTAAAGGTTATGTTCATTATTTACTCCCTATGTCATAAAACTAACTTATCGTTGGATTTTACGATATTTGGTTGGTGTTAATTTCAAATCAATTGATTAGAAAAATACGCCATGAAATTCAAAAAAATAAGATATTTATGTTCAAAAACTACATAAAAGATTTGACCAACTAAAAATGATATGAGTATTTTTTTTTTTGAAAAATGGAGTAATTGTATTACTCAATGAAATAATGATATACAAGGTAGACTATATATAGAAAGGAATACAATCCCAAGCAGGACTAGGAAACAATTACTCCCTCCATTCGGAAATATTCTTCTCATTTGACTTTTTTTGGTCAAATTTTGTAAACTTTGACTATGATATGTAGAAAAAATACATTGTATTAGGATATAACTTTGTTATGAATATATACATTTTGAAATTAGTTTTCAAATATCAAATTTTTATAAAATATATCCATGTATAGATAAAGATATTAGCGGTCAAAGTGTAATCTTGGAGACTGTAAAAAGTCAAATGGAAGAATATTTCCGGACGGAGGGAGTATATAAACAGACTAAACTACAAAGTCTACCATAACTAATATTGATTATAATTAATTATCTAACATCTTCCGGTCTTCCCTCAAGCTGAACTCGTGTTACAAGTGGAAGCTTGTAAACAAGAGCCTGGAACCGCAGGAAAGATAGTGTTTTCATGAGCAAATCTGCTATAAGTAGAAAGACAGATATCCATTGTGTGACGAACAAGCTTGATAGTGCATGTACTGAGTTTTTTCTCGGCGGGACTGTTGGCGATTGGAACGATGGCAGAGAGTTTCTTTTTCTCCTTATGGGCCATTCTTTGTTTTGCTTCTCTATCGCTTTTCAGACTCTCGAACTCTATAAGAAGCAAAGAGAAATACAGCTTTCCAGCTTTTCGATCATGCATACAAAATTTTTTTTGTAGAGAGAGAGAGAGATAATGGACGGTGGCCATCAAGCACGCTCGTTGAGATCGTTGGCGGCTGTTAGACATGCACATATCCTGTTTTTATGAGAAAGAGAGAAGGATAAGAGACGACGATGCCATGATTTGTGGTGGTTGATCGTCGATGAAGAAGACTAACGGTGGCGTACGGTCGTAGAAGAAGGGAGGCTAGATTTTTGAAAAGAAATATCTTAGCTTCGATACCATATTATTAAATAATAAAATAATTGAATTACTCAAGGAAATAATGGAATGCAAGATAAAGTATATATAGAAGGGAATTCAATCTCAACTAGGAGAAGAAAACAATTACTCCCTCCGTCTAGAAATCTTTTTCCCACTTTCCTTTTTGGCCTGCCCGGAAATATTCTTTCCATTTCTTTTTCTAATATACTTGGTACTTTTTAAGGATAAATTTCAATAATATCCTTCTATTTTATCACTAATATACTTTTTTATTGCTTTTTTAATAAGAAAAGAAGTTTAAAAGTTTATAGTATGTGCATTTTTGAAAATTTGGTATTTTTTACCAATAATTAATAAGCGTGTCAAGTCAACACGGAAAAACATTCTAGGACGGAGGGTCTATATAAGTTGACTAAATTACAAAGTCTACCATAATTAATATTGACTATAATTAATTGTCTCACATTTTTTTTAAAATAAGCTTACCAAGTCGATAAAGTTTAATTTGATCTAAGACATTATAATAAGAACATCGAATCAATTCCTATTCGATTTCATCATACCTGGCTTTCCTAACCTGACAGCTGGCACTGAGACTTTACTTTCTCAAGCTGAACTTGCTTTTGGAACTGCCTTTGATCTTAGGCTCGCAGCTACTAGGTGCGTACCCTTGCCTCCCTATTTTTGGGAAAGACGGCTTTCGGAATAGGCTTTTTGGTTTCGCTTCGCTCGCTTGAAACTGCGATTGCGCTTCGCTAGCTAACTACTAGAAATCGAAACTCCAATTTCACCCTCCTAAGAGGATTTTCAACATTCTTCCATTAGCGATATGTTTAACACATCTAAGTCAAGCAGGGACTTTTATCGGTTCCGAAGTACGAAGTCCCTAGAGAACAGAGATAGTCCCTCTTCGAGCGACTTTGTACCTCTTTCAAATGAGTTGACAGAGATTCGTTTCACATAGTGAAACTCATTTCGTTTCACTATGTGAAACTCATTTAGTCGCTCGAAGAGGGATGAAGCATAGTTCAAATAAATCGGTAGATGAAGAATTCATTATCAAAGCATTGATATGGACGTTGCCTGCCTGGGTTGAACCAGTCATCGATAGAATATCCAGGGCCTATTCCTTTTCAATTTCAAGACAAAAAATGCTTTGGTTTTCAAACCAATAGCATAGGTGAAGGCATAGCCCATTCCAGTTCCATATCTGGATCCGGAATCATGAATAGATAGGGGGGGCTTCTCTGGAAGAAGGGATCTCGAGGTGCATGTACGAATGAAGGTACATATCAACGATCAAATTGATCTGGGACCCGAGGCATAGCAATCAGAGGAGTATGTTGGAAGGTTCTTATAAAACAACTAAAGGCCTTTCATAGTCTCCCCGGGGGTGGAGCCTCTTCTATATGAGTACCTCGTGAGGGGGTGCGAAAAGTACCCCAATGGCCCTGTTCCCCTCTAGAGCAAACAAAGTCAAACAAACCTATTTCATAGGTTGAGGCGGATGTAGCAAAGTGGTTTCACGATTTGTTTCAAATGAGTTGTTCGTTGAACTAAATTATGAAGGAAATATAGTTTCTACAGGAGGAAGAAATTAATTACCGTATCATAAAATTTAAAGCTCACAAGCATGCATGCCGGCCAATATTATTTCTGCTTGTTGAAGAATGATGAAGAGAGCAACAAAGTTTATATTGGATGGGCACAATAATTAAATCGTGCTTCAATTCAATATTATCATAACTCGCCAATTATATTATATTGTTTCTAGCTTCCTTGATCGCATGCATGCGTATATATGCTTTATCACATGGCCGGCCCTGAAAAATGAAAAAATAAAATTGGTCTAGTCCAAAATTTACATTTTGTACCATATTTTACATTCTTAGAATATTTTTACTTTAAAATTATTAATAAATTTAAAAATATGTTGCCCTAAATTTTAAGGGGCCCTGTGCGGTTGGCCACTTTGCACACCCTCTGGGCCACCCATGCTTTATCAAGGTACGTAGTTTATCAGTTTAAGCATGTTTTTTTAACAATAAAGAATTGTGACAAAGACTACAAAAAATCACGGAAATTAGCTCTATGAGTTATACATACATTGATTGTCCTATTTATTTGGTAGATTTATTATTCTGTTTATTCAGATTTTATTGATTTAATATTGTTGATAAGTAGCCTTTAACTTAAATTTGTTTATAAATTAAATATATATTCTGAAATGCAAGTAAAGTGACTTAAACAAGTGAAAAGTCATTTAGGAATATTCATAAATGGTGTGAAATGATTTGGTAAATAATCAAATCAAGACAGATAAAAAAAACTAATTTGAAAATGAACAAGTAAAATGTACTTTTTTTATTACTTATAACCAGCTAATAAACATGTTAGAATGCCTTGAATCTGACCCATCACAGCTCCAGAATCCGGAAAAGTCAGAACCCGGAGAAGTCAGAATCCGGAAAAGTCAGAACCCGGAGAAGTCAGAATCCGGAAAAGTCCAATTACTGAGAAATCCGAATTCCGGAGAAGTCAAGAAATCCGAATCCTGAGAGGTCCGAATTTTGAGATGTCCGAACTCCAATCTAATTGGGCTGTTTAATTATCTGTTAACTCTGTAGTTTTGGGCCTAAGTATGTTAGGGTTTTGTCAAGCACTATTTATATGGGTGCTACCTCAAACCCTACGTGATGTACTCTGTTTTGCCTCTCCATCTGAAATAAAACTGCTCCCCCTCTTCCCCGTGGACTAGCCAACACAACGTTGGTGAACCACGTTAAATCTGTTTGTTGTGTTTTTTCTATTTGTTTCTTTGATCACTCAATACCCTATTCAGTAACAACAAACTGGTATCAGAGCTTCTGGTTCTTCCGATTAGGGATTTGTTTTCTGAATTCCGCTCTGTTAGGGTTTCTTGAGTCGATCAAAGATGTCATCTGCTCTGAACGTGAAGATCGATAAATTCAACGGGAGAAACAGTTTTGGCTTATGGCAGATCAAGATGCGATCGTTGCTGAAGCAGCAGGGATTGTGGGCGCCGCTGACTGAAAAGGTGAATAAGGCAAACGATGATGAAGAGTGGAAAACCCTAGAAGAAAAGGCCCACTCGACAATCATGTTGTGCCTGTCGGACGATGTTATCATCGAAGTCGCTGATCAGGAGACTGCTGCTGCCCTCTGGATGAAGTTGGAGAGCTTGTACATGACGAAGTCTCTGACCTATAAGTTGCTCTTGAAGCAACGTCTGTTTCGACTACGCATGCAGGAAGGTACACCCCTTCGGGATCATCTGGAAAAGTTAAGTAAAATTTTGCTTGACCTTCAAAATCTTGATGTTAAAGTAGATGATGAGGATGCTGCTTTAATTCTGCTAGTTTCTTTGCCTGAATCGTATGAGAATTTTGTTGATTCGTTTCTTGCTGGTAAAGAAACTC